CGCCGCGCGCCTGCAGCCGCGCGCGCAGGCCGCGCACGACGCGCTGGCCGCGCTGCTGCAGGAGCTGGCGGCGCGCGACGCTGACATCGCGGCCCGCGCCGCCGCGCCCGACGACTTCAAGGCGTTGCACGACAAGATCCTGGCCATGGAGTCGCAGATCATCGCGGAGCACGCCGTCATCTCGACGCGCGAGGCCATGGCCGACAAGCTGCAGCAGCTGCGCGGGCTGGCGCGCGAGTTCGACGACCTGCAGGCCACGTACGACCGCGTGGTCGCCGAGCGGAAGGACGACTACGAGAAAGGAAGCGTGCAGGAGCTCAACTTCAAAAGTAGCCTCGAAAACTTGGTCACCAAGTTCGAGGACACGAAAATCATATTACAACAGAAAATTAAAAAACTCGAAAACGGTAAACAATCATTTAAAATATTATTATATTGATGATGATAATCGGGAAAAGGATAGCAGACAGATGGTTGCCAAAATAGATATACAGCGTCGGTCGGTGCGTGTCGCAGGGCTGGAGCTGCTGCAGCGCTGGCAGCGCGCGGCCGAGGCGGCGCGCGACTGGCTGCAGCGCCTGGACGCCTGGCTGCAGCAGCAGGACGTGCCGCTGGCGCAGCAGGACGCGCTGGAGCTGCTGCTTCAGCGCAGCAACGTGAGTGCGGGCCGCCTGGGTACTGGCTGCGTGCCTACATTTCTTAATTCGCCAAACTTTCTTTACAGCAATTCGAGGAAGAGAAACAGACGTACAAGGCTGAAATAGACATAGTAGAAAGCACCAAAGAATCGATTCTCGAGGATTGCGACGACGCCATCGCTAAGATGGTACAGAACGAAACGAAGAGTCTAGTGAAACGATACGAGAGCGTCACGGAGAAGGCGTTCCGACTGAACGAGGAGCTGCGGAGGGGACTGGAGCGCACCGAGGCGGTATTCCGCAAGATAGCGGACATGGAGGTCTGGCTGCAGGACCTGGAGGCTCAGCTGCCGGCCGAGCACGAGTGCCGCATCACCGACTCCGCCGAGCTCTACCAGATGAAGGCGCGCTTCCAGGCGCTCAAGGACAAGTGCGACGACCACACGCAGCAGTTCCGCAACCTCAACGACTGCAGTGAGTACTGACAGGCGGCAGGGGGCGGCAGGGGCGGCAGGCGGCGCCAGCGCATTGTACATCGCGGCCTTGTTGCAGGCGGCGACATGCTGGTGTCGGCGGGCGCGGCCGGCGCCGAGCTGGCGCGCCGCGTCACCAGGCTCAACGCGCGCTGGACGCACGTCACGCACGGCGTGTACGAGCGCTACAAGTCAGTACCTAGTAGTAGTGTAGTAGTAGTGTACGAGCGCTACAAGTCAGTACCTGCAGTAGTCAGTGTCGCAGGGTGCTGGCGGAGGCGTGGCACGAGAGCGGCGAGCTGCGCGCGTGGCTGACGCAGGAGCGCGCGTGGCTGGACGGTAGTAGTGTAGTAGTAGTGTACGAGCGCTACAAGTCAGTACCTGCAGTAGTCAGTGTCGCAGGGTGCTGGCGGAGGCGTGGCACGAGAGCGGCGAGCTGCGCGCGTGGCTGACGCAGGAGCGCGCGTGGCTGGACGGTAGTAGTGTAGTAGTAGTGTACGAGCGCTACAAGTCAGTACCTGCAGTAGTCAGTGTCGCAGGGTGCTGGCGGAGGCGTGGCACGAGAGCGGCGAGCTGCGCGCGTGGCTGACGCAGGAGCGCGCGTGGCTGGACGGTAGTAGTGTAGTAGTAGTGTACGAGCGCTACAAGTCAGTACCTGCAGTAGTCAGTGTCGCAGGGTGCTGGCGGAGGCGTGGCACGAGAGCGGCGAGCTGCGCGCGTGGCTGACGCAGGAGCGCGCGTGGCTGGACGGTAGTAGTGTAGTAGTAGTGTACGAGCGCTACAAGTCAGTACCTGCAGTAGTCAGTGTCGCAGGGTGCTGGCGGAGGCGTGGCACGAGAGCGGCGAGCTGCGCGCGTGGCTGACGCAGGAGCGCGCGTGGCTGGACGGTAGTAGTGTAGTAGTAGTGTACGAGCGCTACAAGTCAGTACCTGCAGTAGTCAGTGTCGCAGGGTGCTGGCGGAGGCGTGGCACGAGAGCGGCGAGCTGCGCGCGTGGCTGACGCAGGAGCGCGCGTGGCTGGACGGTAGTAGTGTAGTAGTAGTGTACGAGCGCTACAAGTCAGTACCTGCAGTAGTCAGTGTCGCAGGGTGCTGGCGGAGGCGTGGCACGAGAGCGGCGAGCTGCGCGCGTGGCTGACGCAGGAGCGCGCGTGGCTGGACGGTAGTAGTGTAGTAGTAGTGTACGAGCGCTACAAGTCAGTACCTGCAGTAGTCAGTGTCGCAGGGTGCTGGCGGAGGCGTGGCACGAGAGCGGCGAGCTGCGCGCGTGGCTGACGCAGGAGCGCGCGTGGCTGGACGGTAGTAGTGTAGTAGTAGTGTACGAGCGCTACAAGTCAGTACCTGCAGTAGTCAGTGTCGCAGGGTGCTGGCGGAGGCGTGGCACGAGAGCGGCGAGCTGCGCGCGTGGCTGACGCAGGAGCGCGCGTGGCTGGACGGTAGTAGTGTAGTAGTAGTGTACGAGCGCTACAAGTCAGTACCTGCAGTAGTCAGTGTCGCAGGGTGCTGGCGGAGGCGTGGCACGAGAGCGGCGAGCTGCGCGCGTGGCTGACGCAGGAGCGCGCGTGGCTGGACGGTAGTAGTGTAGTAGTAGTGTACGAGCGCTACAAGTCAGTACCTGCAGTAGTCAGTGTCGCAGGGTGCTGGCGGAGGCGTGGCACGAGAGCGGCGAGCTGCGCGCGTGGCTGACGCAGGAGCGCGCGTGGCTGGACGGTAGTAGTGTAGTAGTAGTGTACGAGCGCTACAAGTCAGTACCTGCAGTAGTCAGTGTCGCAGGGTGCTGGCGGAGGCGTGGCACGAGAGCGGCGAGCTGCGCGCGTGGCTGACGCAGGAGCGCGCGTGGCTGGACGGTAGTAGTGTAGTAGTAGTGTACGAGCGCTACAAGTCAGTACCTGCAGTAGTCAGTGTCGCAGGGTGCTGGCGGAGGCGTGGCACGAGAGCGGCGAGCTGCGCGCGTGGCTGACGCAGGAGCGCGCGTGGCTGGACGGTAGTAGTGTAGTAGTAGTGTACGAGCGCTACAAGTCAGTACCTGCAGTAGTCAGTGTCGCAGGGTGCTGGCGGAGGCGTGGCACGAGAGCGGCGAGCTGCGCGCGTGGCTGACGCAGGAGCGCGCGTGGCTGGACGGTAGTAGTGTAGTAGTAGTGTACGAGCGCTACAAGTCAGTACCTGCAGTAGTCAGTGTCGCAGGGTGCTGGCGGAGGCGAGCGGCGCGCGAGCTGGGCCTGCCCGCGCTGGACCCCGAGCGCCTGCGCGCGCAGCTCCGCACCTGCCTCGTGAGTACCTCGTGCTGTATCTCTGTGTACTAACCGAGCTTCACTATTAATGCGCGTCAGGAAACGACGCCCTGTAACTACTCTGGTCTCCGACTCCTCGCTTACGTCCCCATAAAAAATGTAATCCATATCAAAAAGAAAAGATTTAAAGGAAATTTTCGCGGAACTTTCGAGCCAACACTAAACTATTCTGGCATTTAGTTAGAAGTGCCAAACGAAAAGTAGACCGGGTCACGTGTGATAAGAAATATAAACGGAAGTGTGATTGGAAAAAGTAAGGATGTTCTAAAGCAATGGAAGGAATATTTCGAGAACATTTATTAAATAATATAATATTTCACTACAATAGACACCATAAAGAGCCTAAAATCCCAGGTATCCAAAACCTTTTTTTAAGAACGAAGCATTAGATAATGTTGTCAAATTAAAGAGTACAACTAAGATGTAGCGCGACAATGAAAGTAGCGTGTATTATGTTTAGTCGATTAATCAGGCGCCATTGACAGCTCTCTCGGCGTTTGCGCTCGCGTTCCTATTTTGTTGAATTTATCGTGTTTCAGATTCAGAATAGTTTCTATTTAAACATGATAATGAAATAGACCCATAGGCTAGGCTCTTGTACGATTTAGGCATTTGTGCTTGTATGTGTGTGTGTGTGTGACAAATGAATGATTTTAAAGTAAATTTAGTTTAAATTAAAACACGAGAAATAATTGAAGTAACAGAAGGTTAAGTATATCTGTGTCACGTGGTTTTTTTGTTTACCTTTAGTTAATGACCTAAACAGATGGACTATAGTTTCACTGACGGACTGACTGACAGACTATTATTTATTTTGTATTTGTTGACGTTTCAAAAGTACCAAACTATGGTTTAATTGTAATAAATGCTTTGACTTTGACTTTGAATACTAACAGAGGGCGGAGGTGTAATTGCAAGCTTGCCGTATCTACTTTTTAATAAGTGTTGGCGGGGCGGTCGTGTCCCTGGGACTGGGCCAAGGCCGTAATTCTGCTACAAAGAATCAAATCAAATCAAATATTTATTGCATCCATAATGTACACATACAGAAATTAGAAAAATACAAATAGTAACAATAATGGACCCTGTCGGGCACAGCAACATTTAAAATTTGAACAAGAATCACAGCAGGCGTGAAATTATCGCGGTATTAAGCCTCCTAGGCGTAGTAGGAAGTTGTATGTCAAGATATTGTTGGAAAGAGTGATGGATGTAACTGAGAATAAAATGTGGGATGAGCAAGCGAGATTTCGAAGGGGAATGGGGTGTACAAATCAAGGCTTTTCTTTATGGTGCATTTCAGAGTAAGTCTTATCTGCCCTAGAAAAGGCTTACAACAGAGTGGTGAGGGATGAGTTGTGGTCAACTCTGTCCATGTATGGGGTGGATAGCACCTGATTCGGGCACTTCGAGTGCCTGTGTCAGAATAAATGGAGCCTCCACAGAGTGGTTTAACATACATCGAGGTGTTAGACAAGGCTGAGTAACAGATGTTACATGTACATGTGCAGCCAAGGAGATCCTTGGCTGCTCAAAATATTCATAGACAGCTATTTGAAAGTAGGAGAGTCTGGATTAAGAATGAATGACACAGTGATTAAAACATTGTTGTATGCCGACGACCAAGTACTTGTTGCCTTATCGGCCGAAGAATTACAACGAATGATCACTGCTATGAATGATTCATTTGAAAGGTATGGTATGAAAGTAAATGTGAACGAAACAAAAGTGTTGGTGATAAAAAGAAATAAGGTAATAACAGAATGTCAGGTAATGATAGGTGATGAGAAATTGGAACAAGAGCATGAGCTTGTTTATCTGAGATCACTATTTACAGAGCGTATATGAATGGGGCCGTCGGTAGAGGGCGCCCTAGATTGGTATATACTGACCAGATTGGCGATAAATTAAAGAAGGGCCAAATTAAAAGTGCCCTTAACCGACGAGTATGCATGAAAAGATTGATGACTGTTGATGAAGCGAAAGAAAGAGTCAAAGTGAAAGCGTTTATTGCAACTAAGTGTACAGATGATGGTTATACAATCATTACAGTGCTTTATCAGTATAAAGCACTGTAATGATGAGCTCTTACAGACATTGCAATCTTTTTAGATAAGTAGGTACACATTCATTGTTATTAACATTGTAGTTAGATGTTACAAATCATAAACAAAAGAAAAAAAAATGGTCAGGTATAGGTCACATTATAGTAATAATGAAATCAGTAGGTATAATTGCTGTCGAGTTTAGGATGTCAGTAATAAAATTGTACAATGTCAGGGTATTACAATGTTATGTTAGTCTAGTATGTGTAATAAATCCGTCATACATTTTGTTTGTATTGGCTATGTGCGCGACGGTGGCGACGCGTGGCGGTTACAACATTTGCGGAAGAGGAGTGTAGGAATCGTAGCAATTGGCGTTCCATAGTCTCGGAGACAGGCGTGTCGTGATATGTCATATAAAAATAAATATGTATGAAAACAAGATATGCTTACTTTCCACCGTACCGTCATTGTAGACACAATTATAGAACAATAGGTTGCGGTCACCGGTGACCGCTTGGTGTTTGACAGTTTAAAGCCGCGTCATTTTCTAGGAGGTACTCGGCTATCGATTCTGAGTCCGATGCAATAAAAAAATTGTACTTAAATATTTTTCATTATTCTGTAAATTACGGAAATCCCTAAGTGCAAATTCCATAAAACTCAAATAAGAAACATTGCTGTCGCTTTTTCTGAAACACTGTCCAACTTAAACGATTTATTATAGCCGTATTTTTAACTATTGGCCCGAAACTTTCTTTTACATTGAACCTTTATGACTTCTGTGACATGCCCCCGAGAAATGCCACGGTTTTAAAACTACACCTTGTATAAATACTATTATTGAAAATTGAAAACATGACTAGTACAGAGGCCATTTTGTATCGTACGGGACCCCGGGTAAAGCCGCTGGCAGAAACAAGTATTCGTATAAGACATGAACGAGTCGAGTTGTTAACGTTTTGGTTCCGAGTATGGCTCCATGACGGGTGCAAGAGTTCGTTGCAAGTATTGGGTAACGAGGGCTGGCAGAGAGAGTGGTGGCGCGGCCAGTAGCTCGTAGTGCCTGCCGTACTGTCGCGCTGGGCGCCGCCTCGACATGTAGTGCGCGGTACTGTCTGGGTCTGTTCACTGCTCCCTGCGGCGGTAAGTTAAACAAGGAATTAACAAACATTTGTTCGCACACAAATCTAGAAACGCAGTACAGAGTACACACACACAGTGACACAGTAACACATAGTACCACAATATCATAATTACAATGATATGTGTGGGTCAGTCTGTATTGAAGTGAAAGGCGTTCGGCTCTCTTGTATCTTGACACTTTATATGACTACAAACTGTACCAAGTCCTAACCTTCCATTTTTCCTTGACCTACCAAACTTCCTCTACTTGCCAATAGCTTTCCGAGTCCATACTGGTTCACTTAAGCCTTATTCATAAAGAAGTTTAGATTAGAGTCTATCTTAACTTCTTTATGCACATGTTTTGTTTACGGACTTCTAACCCAAGTAGCACAGAATAGCGCTGAATAGTAGCTGAATCACTGTTCACTATGGAATCTTCATAATATCCCCCTGAATAAGAGCGTCAGAGGCGCCTACTCCGCTAATATAACTCTGATTTGGGCACAAATTATCAGCTGTTAGCTGAATAATGTAATTGGTTGCGCTATATCAGCGTTATTTGAGCATTATTTAAGGTATCAGTCGCCCTAGGAGCTGAATAATGACTGGTTGTCAGGGTATGTGTTACCTTTTATAGACCACAAGGACCGAATAATAGAGTACTTCTAACCTATTTTTCAGCACAAAATACACTCTAGGATAATGTAATTCTTTTATGGAGCTAACAATTCACAAGTGGCAAAATTCTGAATAATTTTCACCCTACTGAATATTTCCTTAATATTTTTTTTATATGTTTTGTGATGTGAACCATTTTGTAAAGTGTTTGTGGAAAATATATAATGTTATCGTTTTTTCACGTTTACTTTCTTTTACATTACATATGAGACTCGAATGGAAAGAGTATTTATAATTATATTTATATCTTTAAAATAATATTAAATTACGACATTATAGACTTCACAGACATTCATTTTTAATAATCTGGAGCAATAGTTTTAAACATTTTTTTTATTTTAATTATAATGCATTATAGTACAATAAACAAAAAAAAACAAACAAGTATATTTATTTCCATGTTGTTCACATATATCTAAGCTTATTATTTAACTATTCTAGGTAGGTTACAATACAATGCCTGTATAGAACAAAATCTGTACTACAGGCTTTACGGTCGCGTGCATTACACTATTAGAATAATATAACTAAGTGTTATCGCGGAGTACCTAACGGGTTACCGGGCTCCGGGTTTTAATATGACTGAGTAGCAATCATACACACGATCACTCACATATTTTCACATTATAATATCGGTTCAAGCTAATTTCAACGATCGGCCCTACAGTTACAGCGTGAAGTCCACCTATACCGATTTCTATGATTCTTTATTTATAGAATAGGTAATATGTTAACTTTTTTTAATTATGGATGAGTGAGAGTATTATAAACGTAAGAGTAAACAAATATAAGCAGAAAGCTCCGAACTGCTGAGCTATTGGGAGTTTTTTTTTATTAAGTTACACGTGTTATTGTGAGTTAACCATAAAAGATAAATATATATATGAACATACTAGCTGTTGCCCGCGACTTCGTCCGCGTAGATTAATGACTTCTGACAGAATTCATCAGAATCAATTCAGTGCCCAATTAAGATTTACCTATTGTGAAATGATTTATCGTAATTTCAATAAATTAAAAATCCCGCAGGGTTCTTACCAGTCCCGGCC